GGGTCACCAACTTCATTGAGTTTCAATACTGTGGCCTGGCAGAACTGGGCTTTCCTGGCTGTCCAGACAGCTGCAAAGAGGGAAGCGCACATGCCGGCACCCAGCCCTGGGTTTGACCCCTTCCAGCCTCGCCCCCACTGATGCTGCTATGTGCACAGAGACCTTGTCCTCTCCTGGGAAAAGTGACAGGAGAAGCTGTTTCCCTAGAATGCAGACAACCCAGCTGCCTCCCTGAGCATGGTACACAGTAAGTACCTTGGCACCCGTCATTTCTTGGAATAGGCAGCATCTCTCTCTCTTAGATTGAGAAAAAGGCGGCAGAGAAGGCCACACCTTCTACCCCACAGGAAGAGACCAGAGCCAAGATCTAAACCCCTCTGCTCCCATCCCTGATCTTTCCTCATGGAGTGGCCTTGGCCTCTCTGGATCACTATGCCAGCTCATCAGGGCTCCCATCCAAGGCCCATCCCCTCTCTCTGCCTTTGTTGGCATGAAGGAGGCCTTGGGAAAAGCTCCAGTAGTCACATGAGGCCTGGAGGGGGTGGCTGAGATGAATTGGATCCTCTCTCCAGGGGTCAGGAACCTGAGATGGCCAGAGAACCGGATGCCATGCCTGAACAGGATGACATCCCAGTCACCTGCCCTTGGGGCATCAGCTGGCACCAACAGACTATGTCCCTAGTCTGGTCCTGTGCTGAGTGTTCTCAATGCAAAGGCAGGCAGGGTGGTGGGGGATGATCCCCCAACCCCTGAGGCAGTACAGAGGCTGCATTCAGTCCAGTAGATTGTTCTCAAGTCCTGGCCCTGTCCTTTACCAGCAGTGTGACCAAATAAGTCACTTAGCTCCTCTGAGCCTGTCTCCTTGCCTGTACAAGGAACAAATGACAACAGTACCCATCCTACAGGTGCTATGAAGATGAAGCCATATAAGAAAGCTCATGAGGATTGGCTGAGAAGCCCCAAAGCCTTTGGAGATGGGTTTCACCCTTTGCTCTGTAGTCCAGGTGCTCAGCAGTGGTAGGAAAAAAAAAAAAAAAGAAGATACCAACACACACTTCTACACAACCATATGGTAATTGTAGCCATGGGTGCAATTCGGGGGGGGGTTTTGACTTTTACATTGTATTACTTCACTTCCCATGTAAATTTTATCAATAGAATAAATGATGATATTTTAAAATCACTGGGTACCTGCTGTGCCAGGCACAGTAGGTCATATTATCCCCATGTTATAGATGACACTTTGAGGCTTAGAGAAGTGAAGTGACTTGACCAAGGACATGCAGTATGCAGGATCTGACCCCTGAAATCTGAAGTACAGAGCAGGTCTGCATGGCAGGTCAGGGAAGAAAACAGCTGCGGATTAAAATTCGAGTTGAATCTGGAAAGCTGAGTGAGATTTCCCTAGGGTAGGTTCTTGACCAGGGGTGATTTTGACCCAGGAGACAGTTGTCAATATTTGGAGACATGTTTTGCTGGTTATAACTTGTGGGAGAGTGTGTTGCTACCAGCACCTATTGAGTAGAGCCCAGGGATGCTACTAAACGTCCTGCAATGCACCGGGAGCCCCATACAACAAGGAATTTCCTGGCCCCCAAATATCATTAGTGCTGAGTATGATGCAACTTGCTATAGCTGTCACTCACTGAGTTTTTATGCAGCAGCTCAGTACTAAGTTCTTGTAAACATCACTTTATTTAATCCTAACCCCATTAGGGAGTTAATGCTGTCAATAAAGGACCTGAGGCACAGATATGGCAAGCCACTTTCCTAAGGTCACTCAGCCAGGATGGAACTGTCTGAGTACAAAGCCAAAACATTTAATTTTTCCACTCTGCTGCCTCTAGGCTTTAGAATAAATGTAGAAGCTCCATGCTAACTGCTAGGTAGGGTGTCCAGAGACTCCAGCTGAGAGCCTGCCTCCTCTAGCTTCAAGGCCCTGGGCATGTCCCCTCCTCCCCCCTACTGTTTCTCCATCTGTCAGTGAACGTTGCACCAGATGATCTCCAAGACCCTGCCAGCTCTGAGACTGTCATTTTCCAGCACAGAGGCCCCAGCCCAGACTCCAGCAGCTGCTAGCTGCTAGGGGAGGTGGGGAGTGAGGGTGGGTGCAGCCTCAGTCCCAGTGCATTAATTAATAGCTAATGAACCCTGCTCCCCAGCCCTCAAGGAGGAAGAGGTGGGTGGAGGAGGGTGGCCCCAGGGGGGAGGCAGATTTCTCTGCCACCACCTGGCCAAGCCCAAAGGGGATACAACTCAGGCCTCCTTTTCAAGTGAGACAGGTGGAGCTGGGCATTCACCCAGTGGGGCACATAAGCTGTCAGAGTCAGGAGGAGAAAGGATGGGAACATGAATTGACCCAGCCCCTACTAGTGCCAGGCACCTTGAATAGCAGGTTCATTTCAGGATGGCCTCAGGAAAGTTCAGGTAGGAAGGGATCATTCTGACTCTATTTCACAGACATAAGCATCAAGGTTTACACAACACTACTTGCTGAGTTACACAGACAGTAGTGTATAAGGCAGGTCTGGGACCCCAGGGTGTCTGACCCATAGGACAATGCACTAGAGAGTGAGTGACAGTCTTGTTTCTCTTCTCACCCTAGAATGAAAGTGTTTAAATAATATTTAGAGAGGATTGGAGGTATGGCTCAAGTGGTAGAGTGCCTGCTTTGCAACCACAAAACCCTGAGTTCAAACCCCAGTCCCACCAAAAATAATATTTGGAGAAAATATATACTAAATTTCTCCTGCATTCCCCCATTACATTCCAAGACATTAATTTGGATTTCCTGGTCTGCACATAGGAGAACCAAGGGTTCAGATAGGGACAGCCTATCTGAAGTCAGATAGGAAGGGAAAGGGGTAAGCAGCAGGAGACGTATCCAGCCCAGACTAGCCTGGGCTCTCTAGACCTGGTCTCTTCCTGTCTGGCAGTGTGGCCTTGGGTAAGTCACAGCATCTCCCCAGACCTGTTTTCACATCTGTAGAATGAAAAGGTTAGGCAGGTGACTTCAAACTCTCACACCTGTGCCCAGTCCTGCCAAAGGCTCCTAAGTGACTTCACAGATGGGGAGATGGGGATACCAGCACCTTGTACCGGGGGCTCTGGTAGGGAGACTGGCCCTATACAAGCTCTCAGAACCCCCAGTCTTTGTTCACCCTCTGATGGGGACTCCATCATCAGGCAGTCAGACTGGAAGGGGGTTAGTGGTGTCTGGGGATGAAAGGAACTGGGGAGCAATGATGGTGAATATGGGGCCTTTCTCCTGGGGTGCAGTGATTGTGAATATGGCCCTTTCTCCTGGGAACAGTGATCATTTCCATGGGCATCTGCTAGATGCAGGCTAACTTGAAGAAACTTATGTATGGAGGGGGATGAAGGAGGAAGCTGAGACCACTTACAGCGCAGGGGAAAGTAATTATTTAGCTCCTAATTAAGTATCTTCAAGTCTGAAGAGTTTACAGCCTCCCAAGCTAGCCTGCTGCATATTAATAAAGTATTTTAGTCAAAAACCTTCCACTTTCAAACATTCCATAGTGTGAGGCAGCTTAGGCCAGGACTGGTCATTCATTCATTCATTCATTCAGCTCTTACTGGTATGTAATATGGGCTTAGCCTTGTGTCAGGCTTTGGGGCCATTAATATGAGAAATAAGAGACTGTGCCTGACCTTTGGGAACTGTGTACTAGAACAATATCCAAAGGCTAGGAATATGGGGCTGCTGGGTTGAAATGGTTTAGCTTAAGAAAAGGATTCCAGGTTCAAATAAGCTTGAGAATCAAGAACAGAGGAAAACAGATTACTTTGCTGAAAGATTTCCCTAAGTGTTTAGTTTCAAATGAACACCAAGAATCCTCCAATTGGGGGGAATGGAAAATGTTATACTGCCCAAATATAGCTGATCTTGGAACACACCATACTTATTGATAAAGAACATTCAGGAAAGTACGGTTCTGGTGCTATTGCTTTTGGCAGTGAAACCTGAGGAAGGCTTAGTAGGGAAGACATTTTAACAGGGCCTTGAGTTGAGTAGCAGTTGGTCTGTGAAGATAGGAAGGTTTAGGCTGACTGTGCTCCACAGACTTTCACTGAGTCCTCAAAGATCCGGATGTGGGTGAGAGAGACAAAGAGGCCATCAAAAGCCCATGGAGAGGGCTGGGGGCGTGGCTCAAATAGTAGAATGCCTGCCTAGCAAGTTCAAGGCCCCCAAGTTCAAACCCAAGTACTGAAAAAAAAAAAAAAGCTCTGGAGACTCCTAGAGATACACCTTCCCCCACACCCAACATTCCCAAATCACCTCTTGACTTTATTCTCCAAATCTGGAATCTTCAAGCCCTGGCTTCACTCTGAATTGGTCTATCCTCTGACTTCACTTCAAAATGGTTCTTGCAATATCTAGATTTGATCCCTTAACCCCTCACAGACCTTGGCCTAACCTTTGGCATCCGAACCTGCCCTTTCAGTAGTTTGCTGATCTCAACTCCTACCCCTATCTTGGACTTAACCCGCACAATCCAGCCTCGTCCTCCCCCTAGGTCATGATGCACACCTGATCCAGGGTCTGCCCCACTATGCCTGCAAACCTGCTATAGCTCAGCTGTAAATATATGCAGACACCGCTTCGTGGCCACGCCCCCAGTCTAGCCCTGACTGTGGTCCTGCCCTTATCCAGCTCTGATGTCTCCAAATTTGCCTCAGCCAGTAACTCTAATCTAATTTGTTCCCGCAGTCCCACCGCACCCTCGACCTTTCCCCAACCAGGGACACAATCCCATGCCAGATCTGTGTCAGACACGGCTTGGCACAGACGGCCTCAGGCCCCGCCTCAGGTCCCGCCCCCTCGCTGAGGTCCCGCCTCATCCCGCATTTAGTCTCATCTGGCCCTGACCCTGCTGGCAGCCCCGCCCCGTGACAATTCTGACTGGGTCCTGCCCACGGCCCAGCCCGACCCCACCCCCGTCCGGACCCGCCCCCGTCCGGCGAGTCCTACCACACACCTGCAACTCCTCGAAGGCATCGTCGATGCCGGTGACCTGGTGCTGCTCGTGCAGCGCGGGCTCATCGCAGAAAAAGCACAACAGCGCGCGGTCGGTGAGGCAGAAGAGCTTGACCTTGTCGTGCGCCTGGCACGATCGCGCGGCCCGGCGTGCATTGAGGATGGCGTCCAGCGGGAAGGCGCTGTAGCGCTCCACGATGTTGGCCAGCTTGAGGCTGGGCGCGAGCGCGGGCTCAGCAAACGTGCGCCGGCACTCGGGGCAGTCGCGGGCGCCCTGCGCCTCCTGCCGCACCCAGTGCTCGGTGATGCAGCGGCGGCAGAAGTAGTGCTCACAGCCCAGGCTCACCGGGTCCTGGTAGATGCTCAGACAGATGGAACAGAGCAGCTCGTCCTTGAGGCTGCACGCCATGGCGCCGGGGGCGGTGAGGAGGGGGGCCCGAGTGGCAGGGGGACGACGGAGAGAGCGTGGCGCGGCCGGGGACAGCACCCAGGGAGCTGCGCGGGGCCCAGGCCCGCAGAGACACAGGCAGCAGCTACCGGGGAGGGAAGGGGGTGCTGTTCGGGAGGGAGGCGACAGGAGGACCGGATATGGGGTACAGACTACCCGGGATGCGCGCCCGGGAGGGAGGTTTCGAGGTAGTGGGTACCCCAGAGCGATGGGTGCTGGAGGGAAGAGATCGAGGGTGTCTGAGGGGAGGGGCTTCTGATGAGAAGGTTTTAGAGGACGGGACAGTCCGAAGGGACGAGGGCTGGGAGAAGGAGATCCAGGAGGGGGGCGGAGGCCACAGAGGGGCTGAAATCTCTGGACAGGGGCAGCTGGGGGAGGGGGATAAGCTGGGGATGGGGAATTCTGGGGGAGAGGGCAGTAAGATCGAGTCGCACCGCGGCTGGGCCGGGCAGAGGCGAGGAGTGGCACCGGTCCGCTCAGCTGAGCGATGCCGGCCACAGGTCCCAGCCCAGCGCGGTCCCTTACCCCCGCCTGCTCAGTGGCCACAGCTTCGGTCCAGCGCAGCCTCTCAACCCGGAACCAGCCGAGCCAAGCTGCCGGCAGCCGCGGCTCCCTCCCCGCCCCCGCGGGCGGGACCGAGAGGCTCCGCCCCCGCAGCGGGCGGGGGGAGGGGAGGAGCCTCCTGACTCCAGACCCCGCCCCGCCTCCACCATCCTGCTCCCAGGAAAGTGAACCCCAGCTGTTCCTTCAGGGTTTGCATAGCATCCAGGTTTTGCATAGGGTCCCCGCGGCAGGGGGCGAGGAGGAGGGCAGCTAATGTGAGAGGGACACCGACTACATAAGGAGCATCTTTCTGGATCATCAGTTTGAAGAGCTGGAAAAAATATTTTTTATTAAACAAGAACATGTATAATTTACATAGAAGGTAACTTTTGCATAGATTATAAAGATGAAACTCGAGAAATGCACTCACACTCTTAAGCTTTGGGTCCCCTTTGCTCTTCACTTTCTTAAGGACTGCTTGGGGGAGAAGTTTGGGGGAGTCCTGGCTCATGCCTGACCCCAGGGCTTCCTTCCATACAGGAAGCATTTCTGCAGTGCTCTGTGTGTGTGTGTGTGTGTGTGTGTGTGTGTGTGTGTGTGTGTCTGTGTGTGTCTGTGTCTGTGTGTGTAAGGAGGGTGGAGCAGGAAAGAGGGAGAAATAGTAATGGGAGATTGTCTTCTGTGCCAGATGAGGCGAGGGATTTCTAAGCAAATGAGAGGGTGTGTGCAAAAACAGATGCGTAAAAAGGGAAGGCGCATTTGGGGAAGTGCGAGTTGAGTCTACTGTACTCGCACAAAATAGGGTGGGGTGAGTAAAGGGCTGGGGTGAGGTGGAGGGCATCCAGGGTCATGGTAAAGAATTTCTTGAAGGAACTGGACTTTCTAGCAGGGAAATAATCTGGCGACATTTGGGTTTCATGAAGTGTTGGAGATGCTCATCATGCCCTTAATGAAGTGAAGTCAGGGCCCCCTTTGCCATGTGTTTATATATATATATATATATATATATATATATATATATATATGTCCTAGCGCTGGACAGTCAGTAAAGATGTGCAGCTGAGTAATAGCAGCAAAGCCTTGGATTGCAAGAGGAAGGAAAGACTGGCCCCTAGGGAGGTCGCTGTTACCATAGTGCATGCAGTTGAGACCTGACTGTAGGTCAGGAGAGAAGGCCAGAAGGCTAAACATCAGAACTTGCATTCAAACCCCTTGTTCACTCCATTCCAACAGTACAGAATGACTCGCACTTCCCGAAGGTGCCCTCCCCTTTCTCACCTCTGTTTTTGCACAAACACACCCTCATCTGCTTAGAAATCCCTCACCTCCTGTCCATCTGGGACTGGAAGACACTAGGAAATTTAGTGATGGATTGGGTATGGGAGTGAAGGAGAGGAGGCATTGAGTGAGGGTGGCTTTCCAGTTTCTGTCTCCTCCAGACATGTCTTCACTAGAGTTAATCTTTATTGAGTTGCAATTTAAGAAAGAGCTCTAAATTTAGCCCTTTGCTGTTGGCATGTCCTCCATCACACCCTCATCTGGTCCTGTGTTTCCATCATTGCCAGAAGCAGGTTGGTTGCTCATACAACAGCCATTCCTGGAGTTTTCCTTGCACTCAGAGTCCTGATTTTGTTCAAGTGGTCCCCTTCCCCATGTGACCGAGGGAAAACTGACCCCAGCTCAGCTCCAGGAGTGAGTTCTGTCTGGTCCAGATCCATCATGGGGGTTGTACTCTTCCTGTCAGTGACAATTTGGGCAGATCTGTCTTAAAAAACTAGGGGGGAAGACTATGGTGGAGAGGAGACTTCTGGAAGGAGTCTCTTCATGCATGGAATTTCGGCAGCCATCTTGCTCCCAACCTGAGGATGCAGCCAGTACCCAGGGGTCTTAGGGAAGAGGAGCTGTTGCTTTGAGCCAATCCTGGACTTTTGAGTATGTAAGATGGTCCATCTTACTGCTCAAACAACTTTTTTATTTTTCGCAGTACTGGGGCTTGAACTCAGGATCTATGCCTTGAGCCACTCCACCAGCCCTTTTTTGTGATGCTTGTTTTTTAGATAGGGTCAAAACTAGTTGCCCAGGGTTGGCTTCGAACCATGATCCTCCTGATCTCTGCCTCCTGATTCTCTAGGATTACAGGTGTGAGCCACCAGTGCTCAGCTCTCAATCAACTTTAATAGTGGCAGACAGTAACTTGGCAACCCAAGAAATTCTAACTGATTCACTGACATGCATCCTCTCCCCTCCTTTTTTTTTTTCCAAATAGGTAGGAGTCTAAATTATTGAAGCTTTTCAAGTGAAATGGAAAAAGCTTGATGATGGATAAAACAGTGGCTTCATTAGTCAACATGTATTTGCTGATAGTGACTCTAGATAGGCCTTGTGTGAGGGAATGGAATAAACTATGCTTCTTACTCCCAAGGAGCAGTCTAGAAGAAAAAATTCTTATCAGGCACAGTAGGGTGCACTGAGAACTCTCACACATATTACTGGATCTGAGTGTTAGCAATCTTAATTTATATATGTATATAATTATCTCTATTTTATAGAGGAAGATAGTAAGACTCAGAAAATGGAGATGCATTGGAAATTGCCAGTTGTCCATCAAAGGCCTTCCTCCTGCTCTGTAGTAGTAAAGCTGGAGGAGTGGCTGGTCTGCTAGAGAGTGAGTTTTTCTGCTTCTCTTACAACAGAGCATGGCTTTGTGACTAGCTGTTTCCAATAGATCAGAAATAGAAAAAGGCCTTAGGGCAGTGGGCTTTTGCTCATCCATGCTCCATTTCCTCTTTCCTTGCGTTGGAATGCAGATGTGCCAGGGACCCAGCTTCACCAATACTCCAAAAGGGCTGACAAAGAAAACAGAAGGAAAATCTGGGTTCCTGAATGACTATGTGGAGTCACATCCCATGACATGAATGTGAATTGAGGGTCTGAATTAAGAATTAGAGACCCTGGCTGCAGTGTCTGTCATCTGCCTCTATTCATACTCTAAGAAATAACATCAGTAGTTTTTGTTTGTTTTTTTTGAACAGTCTCAAAGAGATAATTGTTGAGTGAATGAAAAAAATAAAACAGGGAGACACAAATGCACATGGATATATAGACACAGACTTATACATGTGCAAGGCATAATTTGCATAGCAAAAATTCTGCAGAACCATCTAGAAATTCTAACTGGGCTCATCTATGGACTGGGATTATGAGGGGACTTTAACTTTTACATTATATAGCTCTGCTTATTACATGAATTTATAATCAGAAAAATAAAGGTATAGTTGATCCTCATGATTCATGGACTTCATGTTTGCAAATTCACCTACTTCTTTTTTTCTGGTACTAGGACTTGAATCCAGGGCCTTACACTTGCTGGGCAAGTGCTCTACTATTTGAACTACAACTTCAGCCTCAACTTCACCTACTCTTAAAATGTAACTCCCAAATCAGTACTTGAGGCACCTCTGCAATTATTTGTGGACATATGTATGGACAGAGAGGAGAAAATGGGGCTAGTCACAGGTCCCTTCCCTAATGAGATTGAACAAGGAAACATTCTGCTTTCTTATTTCAGCTCTCAGGTGTAAATAAGTATCCTTTTTTGTGACCTATTTAGTGCCACATTTTTTTCATTTTGGGGGATGTTTTTCTTGGTGATTTTGTTATTTAAAATGGTCCCCAAGCCTAGCACTTGAGTGCAAGAAAGCTGGGATGTGTCTTAGGGAGAAAATAGATGTATTTGTTAAGTTTTATTCAGACATGAGCTATAGTATCATTACCTGTGAATGTAATGTTTATGAATCAAAAATATATAGTTGCCCTTTGTAATCACAGGTAAACTATATGTAGATCCAACCAACTGCAGCCTGAAAATATTTGAAAAAAATTGCATCTGTACTGAACATGAACAAACTTTCTTCTGATATTTTTCCCTAAACAATACAGTATGGCTTCACATAGCATTTAGACTATGTTAGGTATTACAAATAATCTAGAGATGATTTAAAATCTATAGAAAGATATGTGTAGGCTAAATGCCAATACTATTCTCTTTTATATAAGAGATTTGAGCATCCTTGGATTTTGGTATCCACAAGGAGCCTGAGGATATTGTGGAATAACTGTATGTATTAAATAAAGAGTCTTTAAATAGAAGCACACATAAAACAAAGTTATGTATTGATTAATTTCTGAAAATGTGGCCAGAATCTTGCAGGAACCTGATTCTATCTTCCCTCTTGGGGCAGTGACTCAGTATTTGCTAATTCAGTTTTTGCAGTGACTTTGTAGAATAACTACCATGAATGATGAGAGTGAAACAGCATCCACCAATCCAAAGTACCAACATCCAGGTAACATCGCTCAGGCCCACTCAAAGGAGGAAGGATGGGAGGGTGAACAGTATCCAAGCAGCTCTCAGTACCAGGCACTGAGCTAGGTGTTTCATGGCATTGTTTCATAATCACAAAAGCTCTCAGACTTGACATTTTTCTCTTTTACTTTTTTATTGGCAGTACTGTCATTTGAACTCAGGGCCTTGAGCTTGGTAGGTAGCCACACTTTAGCTTTTTTTTTTGCTTTTTGATTGTACTGGGGTATGAACTCAGGGCCTCACACTTGCTAGGCAGACACTGTACCACTTGAGCCACTCCCCCAGCCCATAGCCCTTTTTAGATTTAGTTATTTTTCAGGTAGGGTCTCACACTTTTCCCCTAGGGCCAGCTTCAGATCGTGATCCTTCTACCTAGGCCTCCCACCTAGCTGGGATTATAGATCTGCCCTATTTGTTTGTTGAGATGGGGTCTCACTAACTGCTTATCCTGGATGGCCTTGAACTGCAATCCTCCCAATCTCTGCATCCCAACTAGCTGGGATTACAGGCATGTATCACCACGTAGAACTTTTAATGTTTTTCTCTCTATTTGCAAGTCAGAGCAGGGAAGTGGCCCGTCTAAAGCCAGAGCAGTACATGCTTCTTTATCCCAACTGCTGGAGCAGTTTCCACAGCTGTGCT